TATATACTTTTATTTTTCCATGGAAAGCTTTTTTCTTAATTTTTCTTGTCCAAATTAAATTTGACACCTCATTTTAAAACTACTTCAAGGTACGGAAAAATTTAGGGATAGTCAATCATGAATTAAATGAGTAATGTCAAATGGTGTACCCAGGAAACTGTGGGAAAGGGTGTGAGTATGAGGCTCTAGGCACCCCTCTTTTGTTTCAGTCAGAGTAGTTTGACTTTTATTTGTTTTAGACATTGGAATTCAACATACGATTTCATTTGAAAACTTGATTCTACTGCCTTTCTTTTAAAGTTTGATAACAGTGATCTAGATGTTCTACAATATTGGCAATTTCTCCTAAATACTACCAAGTAAGTTAGTTTTTACTTTCTGTCCAGATTCAGGGTACAACCACTTCATACTGTGAAAATTATAAACATTTTCCCTAAGTTTTCTGAGTCTCTGTCATCTATATATTTGTGTCCATGATGTTAGACTTATAGAACTGGATGGATACTTAAAAAGCATCTACGTCTACCACTTCATTTTAAAGATGAAGTAACCTCAAAGCCATTGTGACCCATCCCCAAGGTCACATTGGGCAGAATCAAGAAATGAATCTAATTGGGTACTCTTCTCATTGCATTGAGCTCTCTCTTTTAGAGGTTCTATTTCACCAATTTTGAATATGGGATATTTGCTATATATTAGAAAACATAAATGGCCTAAAGAAAGGATGAGAACAAATAACATTACAAAAGAAATTTATTCATTCAACAAATAATTGTTGAGCAGCTACCAGTGTCAAGCATTGTATTCACTGAAACTAGTCTATTAGTTCACATATGAAAAACATACATGTGCTTTATGTGATGTTTGTTAATGCAAGTTCAGTAGATGGCTCCTGTCCTTTAGGGTGAAAACTTCTTTAATGCCATAGTGGACATTGGTTTTATCTTGGCTACTGGGAACACATTGTCCCTTATGTTGCTAATAATATCTAGATTTTTTGTGAGTAATTAACACCATCACATCCTTTCCCTACTCCCCTTCCCTACAGTCCTTCATTTTTCTGTAGTCCTGGTGAAGCCAATTAAGGACTTTCTATCTTAAGCAGAGATAACAGTGCTGAGGAAAACTGTCAATTCTTTCAGCCTAGACCACTGAATAATTCCTGCTCTCATACCCTCTCCCCACCAGAGCACCTTTGATACTATCCCCAAGCATGACTCTTCAATCTCATGATGGATTCTAATAACTCTCTCACTTCCTTTAAAGAAAACCCCTTTCTGCTTAAGTTAATCAAAGTTGTCTTGTGTTGCTTGCAGCCAATTAACCCTAAATGATACCTATATCTCTTTGTGAGAGATTTTGTAATTATCAGATGTGACAACACAAACTGCTAGAGAAGAACAAGATCTATGAACATTAAGGCCTTTTGTCTCAAAGTCCAAAACCTGAGTCACTTTACCAATAAAAGATGAAGCTAACCCCCAACTGAACCTTTTAGCTCTTTGCTACCTTAACAAGCTCGATATCGGGAGACCTGTTACACAATAAAGATAATACCCTTCTCTTCATTATCTTCTCCCCATTTACAGACGACTCCTGAGAAGCTGTCCTGGGCCTCTTAGGGCTGTGAAGCACTGTCATCCTTTTCCCAGTCTTCATTTTGATCTGCTAAAGTACCATTGTGCTGGCCCTCTGCTGAGTGCTGTTGACCTTGTTCACTGATTGCTTTTAGTGATTCCCTTTGGTGATTGATGGAACTGACTAGACAGTAATGAAAACAGGGCTGATTTGCTTTATCTTAGCAGGATTAAAGCCTAAAAACAAATCTAATTTTCTTTTATGGGGAATGGAAGTAGGAACAAAAGATTTTGATCACTGTCTTAAAGTAACATGAAAGGAAGACTGGAGGATTTAATATGGTAAAAGGAAGCTCTGTAAAGGAAAGGCAGCATAACTGTTACATTCCTAATGGAAGGAGTGGTGACTCTCTAATTTCCTTCTTAACAATAAATGCTGTTCACATGCTAGATATGGTATATACTAGCCCATAGATCCTCTGTATAAATTTCTGATGTAAAATGAGAGAAAAAGATGTGAAAAATGTTAAACAATCATGGGAAAATTGAAGAGGTTGGCATAGAGCATTGGAGAGCAAAATTTGTCATCTTTACCATTCCATGATATCTCTCAAAAAAATTGGCAGAAACGTAGCTTGTAGGAAATTAATGAAAGGTTCTTGAGTCCTTTACTTGTTTTTCTGCCATCGTTAATGAATGTAAAGGGTTAACTATTAAAAACTGTCATGTAGCACTGAGTATTAAATATTTATAAATATATTTTACATTTAAAGTTCACTCTTTAATAACTGTAGGCAAATAATAGGTAACAGACTGTGGTCAGCCTTATCATAGGAGGATGAGTTGTTGTAGGAACATTCCTTCTCTTTCCCATTTTCCTTGACGGAATAAAGAGGTGGTTCAGTATTCAGGCTATGGGTAGAGAGAAAGGCAGCAGAAGAGCCCAGTGCAATGTCATTGCATTACTGTAATCATAAAAGTGTCAATGAATTAATCTCTAGGTCTTTATTTCACAACTGGAAAATGGGGATATATGGGTCAAGGGCAGGGCCACTGCCAGCCTAAACAATGCCTCTGTGTAAACTGGAAAATTTCACCCCTTCCTGCAGGGAAATTTAGCCTCATAAGTTTGGCAAATGGACCTCAGGCTAAATTTCAGCCTTTGGTTTTTTTTGCTGGGTTCTCTTGTACAGAGTACAATCTACGTAGCTGTATTACAGCTCTGGTGTGAGTTCTTGGTTGCCTGCAACAGAATCCAACCCTAAATACATTATGCCAAATAAGAATTTACTGGCAGGATATTGGAGTTCACAGATCAAGAGGAACCTGAGAAAGTAACAGGAGCTAGGACATCTCTGGCATCAGGACCTGAAAGTTGACTGAGGCTTTAACTCAGTAGCTGGCCAGTCCTTGGGCCCCACAGACTGCTGCAAAGGATTTGGCATCTGTCCATGTCCTCATCCTTTGCATCATTGAGGATTTACAGTCCCAAGAGTGATCTTTGATTGCCTGGCCCCCTGGCTATAACAGGGAGCTGGTGGAGGAAGGAGCAGGCTCCCCAGCTTCTGAAGCAGGAAATGACAGTGAGAGCTGGTACTTAGTGCCCTCCCACTAAGACCACCCACCATTTGAGTTATCCCCAAGGAGAGACTAGGGTGTTATTAGGAAGCTGTATATGTGTGGAGAGAATTGGGTGCTGGATAACTATAAAATGGTAAATGTCTGTTATATACTTAGCTGTTCATATCACCTAAAGTATTATCTAGTTGTAGCTGCCATACAAAACTGCCCCTAAGACAGAGACATCAAGTGTTAGAAGTAAAGGCATTCAGGTGACCAGTTTCCTGACCCAGTGTTTTAGTGCATGTCCTTTTCTCTATACATAGAAATGATGGCAAAAATTGACACCCTGAAAAGGAAAAAGAATATCAAGTGACAGTTCATAGTGAAATACTCAAGACAAAATTCTATGAATTTATTATTCCTCTTGATTCTCTGTAGTCTGCCCCATACTGTTTGTAGAAGACAGTTTTCTCTAGCAAAAGGAGAAAAGTTTTCAAATTTTATCATGTCTTCTCTCCAAGATAGAAATAAAACTATATTTTCTACCTTTTTCTTTTTTGCTTTTTATTTATTTTGGGATGGGGTAGGGTGGGGTTGGGGATGATGGCCACGTCCACAAATAACAAAGAAGTGGTCCTCACAATCAACAATACTGCCATGGGGTGGGCTGATGTGCTGTGTCCCCAGGCTCCTAAAAGATCCAAAGCCTTCCATGTCACCCACCCCTGCTCCTTCTTCCTCCATGGGGGACCCTGGTACTTGTGCACAGCTTTCCAGGATGCAAGAGAGCATAACAGGGATTCTATTTGTTGGCTCTTGCTCAAGAGTCTGCTGATTTTTCTCTTAGATGTGATTTTTTAATGCCCATGAGTTTCCTCTGTGCACAAAATTTCTGTCCCAGCACAGGGTTCAGTGGAATTTGTCTTTCTCCCGATTGATCATGCCTATTATGAAACCACAAGCTTCCTGCCATTTTATGCATTGTGTGTATACTTATTTTATTTTATTTTTTTATTTTGAGACAGGGTCTTGCCATGTTGCCCAGGCAGGAGGACAGGGGCTAAATCATGGCTCATGGCTGTCTTGACCTCCCAAGCCCAAACCATCCTCCCACATCAACTTCCCAAGCATCTGGGGCCATAGGCATGCACAACCATCCTCAGCTAATTTTTTTTTTTTTTTTTGGTAGAGAAATATTCTCCTTATGTTGCCCAGGCTGATCTCTAACTCCTGGGCCCAAGCAGTTCTTCTCTGGCCCCAAGCAGTTCTTCTCTGGCCCAGGCCTCTTAAAGCACTGGGATTACAGGCGTGAGCCACCGCGCCCAGCCTGTGTACTTCTTTGGATGTTCGTTCATTAAAATATATGTATAAACAGTGTTCTATAAGCCCTAGGAATATTCTAAGCCCTGGTTGATTTACCTATTTTGTTGGTAATTAAAGCCTAGATGACCATAACTATAGATTTCTTGTGGATCTTAACAGTCTAGTGGTGGAGACAAGGAAGAGAGAAGTGGACACGTGTAAATATATAATTACAAATTATGTGGGAAATAATTTTAAAGAACAGGATTCTGTAATAGAGAATAGCAAGAATGGGACCTACCTAGAAAGAATGACCATTAGGCTTATCTGAGGAACAGATAAGTCATGATCTAAAAATTGACAAGAAACCCATCAGGCAAATGTATGTGGCTGGTGGGAGTCAGGGAGAGGGGAGGTAGAGTGGGGATGGGAATGGGGCATAAGGGGTATACATTTTTCAGGATGGGCCAGGCTTATGCTGTGGTCAAGCAGCCCACAGGTCACAGGGGCTTGCTACTTAAAAGTTTGTCTCTTGCTTACACAAAGTCTGTTTTCCAGGGCAACTATACTCTTGATGATACAGGTTTATGAAACCCCATACAGCCGCTATGTTCTCTACCAAAAGGGAAGGATGTGCAGTGCTTTCCTTGCTGCTAACAGATCATCAACGTGTATGTGCTTATGGCCCCACCTAACTGCAAACAGCTGGGATGCACAGTAGTGGAGAGCCATTGTTGAGCACTAGTCAGGTGGATATGTGCACGGAGTAAGTGAAGAGGGAGCAGGGTGGTGCTGTAGCATTTCAGGCAGAGAGAGCAGCCTGGGCAAAGGTCCAGCCTGACTGAGGTAGGATTATGGTTAGCATATTGCAGTACTGTTGGGTGGTAAGAGATTATGACACTTCCTTTAGCTACATACCTGGGGGTTACTTGAAAGGTGATCGTATTTATTTAGCTGCCAGAGTTCAGTGGAAAGTCATGTTTTTTATATAAAAAGAAGGCTGGGCATGGTGGCTCATGCTTGTAATCCCAGCACTTTGGGAGGCCAAGGCAGGTGGATTACCTGAGGTCAGGAGTTAAAAGACCAGCATGGCCAACATGGTGAAACCCTGTCTCTACTAAAAATGCAAAAATTAGCCAGGCATGGTGGTGCATGCCTGTAATCCTAGCTACTCGGGTGGCTGAGGCAGGAAAATTGCTTGAATCCAGGAGGCAGAAGTTGCAGTGAGCTGAGATCATGCCACTGCACCCCAGCCTAAGTGTTAGAGCGAGACTCAGTCTCAAAAAAATGAATAAAAATAAAAAATAATAATAAGAAATGACCTCCATGTTTTATTTAATAATTATCTGTCTCCTAAAAGACAGATAACTATTAATAATTATTAATCATACACTGTGTGAGAAATATTACATATGTGTTTTTTCACTTAATTCTAAGCAGTATCATTGTCCCCATTTTACAGATGATAAAACAGACAAACACAGACTAAGTGATTAAGGTCACACCTCTGGTAAGTGATACCCAGGCAGTCTGACTCAGATGGGTTTTGGCCACTATACTGCTCTCATACAGCTGCAAAATATTTTCCTGTGTTGGCCAAGAAGGGTCCTAGTGACCAGGTGCCAGACCCTGTAGAAGAGAGAGTGTTATTGCATCTTGGCAGGACAGCAGACAGGAAAAAAGTATGCATATATTATGCTAATAAATTATGTTTTCTTTTGGAGTTACTGTATATCCTAAGAATCAGATCTGGGATGCTGAGAAGCCACTACATTGTTAGCTAAACTAGAGTAAGTGTCCTTCCAATGGTGGTGTTGTTGTTCTTTCATACTAAGTGCTTTTGGACACTTTGGAGAACCGATTGCAACAGGCTGAAATGACCAAAAACGCTCCAGTGCCCAAGTCATAGAGGCACCTTCTGGGAAGTGATGGTACTTAAAATCAAAGCATGAAAAACTAGAGTGAGAAAAACTCGGCAGGGTTGAAGCTGGAGGTGTTGTACTACTGCCTTTTCCTACCTACAGAGTCTTCCCTCAAGGCTTATACTTAGGTGGGGCTGCATTTATTGTGATAATGGAGGCCATTCCCATCAAACGTTTGGGTAGCTACCTGCAACCTTCTACAGCTCGGTGGCCAACAGTGACCTTGTAGCAGAGCAGGCACAACTCGTGGTTTCCTGCTCACCACTGTTCTTTCCTTGTAACAGTGATTCTGGGATAGAAGTGCAAAGTACCACACAGAAGTCCTGGGAAGAAATACTGGGTGTGCAGCATGCTCAGTAAATAATTTTCACGGGATTATGTGTGAGAGGCCATGGAGTTTCTGTTTGTCTTACTTGGAGTTACAGCAAACTTTCATCCAATGAGGGCACTGACCTAAGAACAGGCATAGGCTATGTCATCAGCCAGGAAGTACTGTATTTCGTTTTCTAAAATTAAACCTATTTTTATAAGAGATATTTCTAGCATCAGATTCTCAATCCTGTTATGGGCATCATATAATAACAACAGGTTTCTCCAGTTACAGTTTACACCATGAATCTAAAGCCTTTAATAATATTGTCCTAGTTTTTCCATTTAGAAATAGACATGAATTGGAGTTTTCATGTTAGTAATTCTGCTCTCTGAGAAGCATCTTCTCCAGGCATGCTCCACAATGTCTTATACCTCTCGACTTTGCTTATTTAGTTTCTCCAGGGTAGGACGCTTTTTCCTCCGTTCTTCAATTAGCTAAATGTTCATTACTTTTAAGAGTTCATTTTTGGCATCAACCTCTTTTAGAAGCCTTTTTTGGACTCCCAGTTTGAGCCCCATGCCCCTCTTTCAGTTTCCATTGTGCCCAATATCTTTATCTTGTTCTTTAGGCTCATTCAAATAAAATTTATCTATCTTGAGGGTCTTTTTGTGGGTTTTTCCACCTCATTAGAGTCTAAAGTCCTCCTGGGTGGGGGTTGTTTTTACTCAGCATTTTCACCTCTAGATCTAGTAAAGTTCTTAATAAATGTCAGTGAAACCAAATTAGATGGGTAAAAACTGGTTTTCAATAAGATGCAGTGAGAATTCCATAATTCAACTGTAGCTTTGGAAGTGACTAAACCATCATTGAAACAATGTCACCCAAATTAAACTCTATAATCCCAGAAAAGGGAGAGACTTAAGTCTTATTGCTGATTTCTGATTCTAGCTTTTTTGAAACAGGTTGTTTTTTCAAGGTGTCTTAATTTGTCTAGCTGTAAAATAGCTGTGGATATTGTGTTCGTTGAAATCTGTGAGGCCCGCTATTCTCACTGAGTCAGCATATTATGAATGCAGTTTATTATTCCCAAAATATAGTGCATGGAGCTTAATCAGTGCAGAAGTGAAGACCAAGAGTCTTAGAACATTTGTTCTGATTTGACATTTTTCTGGAATCAACAAAGAGGATGTATCTCCATGTGGCAAGCTACTGGATTTCTCTCCCTCCCTGTGTTTCAAGCTATAAACACAATTTCCCCATTGACATTTATTAGAAAGTAACACAAAGCAGATTGCTGGGTTTGTGCTCTGCAGACATTTTATATCAGACATATTGCATGCTCTCTATAAGGCAGGCATGATGGCATCTTTGCAGGTTAAGCTCTCAAACCCTGTTCTACCATTTTAATAATTTCATTGGCTTAATCTTTATATGAACGAAGTATATGATTTCCTCAAACAATACTTTGCTCCTCTGTGCTTGCTGAAAGAATGCTTCAGCTTAGAAATTTGGTCTGTGATCTTTCAGATGAGGATACAAAATGTTTAACTTAAAGACAAATACTAGGTCACACAGGGACAGGATCCAGATGGTTTTGTATTTGATTACACCACTCTCCATCTCCCTGGCATCTATATACTTTCTTCTCTTTTCTGCCATCTGTCAATACACCTGAATGAAGAACTTAATCACATATGCTATCAACAGGTCAGTTTGATGTTTTTTGTTGTTTTTGTCTACCTTCTCTTTCACTGGGTGGTTAAAAAAGAGTATATTATAAAGAAGTATCTAGTTTTACGTTGTAATTTATGTTTTTCCCAAGTAAGCATTAAGATTAAGGCTGGCCCATTTGCTCATGTAATTCCAGTATTTGAGACAAAGAAATCAAATGTTATATTTGATCTAATTTAATGAGTTAGAATGAAGTATATTTTTCTTCCATTGTTTATTGTTAATATGAATTATAGATTTTATTTATTAGTAATAACCTTATAGATTTTCTTAGTAATTGATTTTTTTTTCCAATTTATTTATTTTATTGCATTTTAGGTTTTGGGGTACATGTGAAGAACATGCAAGATTGTTGCATAGGTACACACGTGGCAGTGTGATTTGCTGCCTTCCTCCCCATCACCGACATCTGGCATCTCTCCCCTTGCTATCTCTCCCCAACTCCCCAACCCCTACCGTCCCTCCCCTATTTCCCCCCAACTGACCCAGTGTGTAGTGCTCCCCTCCCTGTGTCCATGTGTTCTCATTGTTCAACACCACTCATGAGTGAGAACATGGGGTATTTGATCTTCTGCTCTTCTGTCAGTTTGCTGAGAATGATGGTTTCCAGGTTCATCCATGTCCCTACAAAGGACACAAACTCATCATTTTTGATGGCTGCATAATATTCCATGGTGTATA